GTCATAGTGTGCAGTAAAGAATATTTCATTTAATTCACTCAGTCATTCGTTCATTCAAGGGAAAAAAACTTTTTCTATGTTGTATATTTACATTTAGGAGTACGTTATACATAGTGATGTAAATGTTTACTATTCTATACTATTCTCTCTAGTGTTTTATTGTTAAATCAAGGTGATGCTGAAGCTGTTACAAATCCAAGTTACCATTTTCTAGACATTTTAAGGATGAAGCGGCTACAGACGTTCAATGATTTACAACTACTAATAACAGGAAAAACTGGCCATAATCTATTTCCATTCGTATACAAATCACCGAACAGAAAACCATGAAACACGCCACACAAAGAATCTTTATGTAAACATAACAAACGTAAAATGTGTTATATTGTTGTTTCAAGTCATTTCGAAAGTCATTCATTACGGGATTCCTATTGGTTGTATTTCTGTATACTGTTACTATAATTGGATTCATTGCTTTCAAATGTACTACATTCGTTTAATCCCTTATTTTTCTTACATAACTATTTCAGTTACCAAAGTTGATTCAGATTGAAGACGTCCTTGTGAAAGATTTCGTCCACGGAAGTACTGCCACCGTACCTCTTTCTGATGTCAAGCAGTAATGTGAGCATTACTGCGTTCAAGTTTTTAAGGGTAAGGAAGCTGGTAAAATTATATATTAGACAATATCACATACATTGCCACAAACCCACAGCAAGTACTTAAAGCACTTGTGTTATGGAAATCAGGAACAACGATGATACTACGAACAATAGATCCGAGACAATATTGAAATGTCAGTTCTTCTACATTCGGGACCTCCCAGATGGCGACAACATGAAAACCACTGAGCAAACTACTCGACCACGAAGGTCATCAAATTACAGTCAACTTATGTCTCAGGGTGATGGGTACCGTAGAAGTGCCCCTCAGATCTTTGCGATGCAAAGCTCTGAGTGGTACTGCGATTGTTATGGATAGGCTTGTAGCTTACCATCAGGCGCATGACTTGTTCGTTCCGTCATTTGGTGCCATAAAAATAACAAAACGCCCAAAATTTTATTTGATGCAATTACGATTTGATCGTCAGTTAAATGACCGTATTATGTTAATACATTGTCTATGACAAATGTCGTGAATAATATACATAATCACAAGTTCTTTCGAAGTAAAAGTGATCCAGCAGTCGCAAAACAGATCTGAAATAGTTTTGAGAACATTGAAAAGGTTGCTCCTTCATTGAATTTATTTGCAAAAACAATACGAGGTGGAGGCTCCATCCTGTGCGCTCCACGGTAGGCACCATCCATTGGCTACATGCCTCCCTAATCTGAATGTTTGGTGAGAATCAAAGCGACAGATTTGAATCGTATATTCATTTTATGTTTAATCATCGCATTACCTTTTTTTTATAATATCAAGTGACGGGACGGACATGCATCACTCAGAGCTTTAAATCGCAAAGATCCGAGGGGTACAGCCACTGTGCCTGTCACCCTGAGATGTAAGTTGACAAGTCCCCTATGCCTGTAATTTCACCAATTACTTTATCTGTAGGAAGTATTCGTATAAAGAAAAAGAACACCTATGCATATGTAGAGCTCAAATCTAAGACACAAATGAATGTTGCAATGAGCTACGCTGACTAGTATATTGCATCATGTTGTGTTTATAACAAATGAATGCTTAAATTTTTATTGAATTGACATTAAATGATTTTTATATGAAATTAATCCACTAGCTTCTTATAATTATTAATACAAAGATCAAACACTCAGAAAAAATTCCTTCGATCCTGCCGGATTCGAACCGACGTCTTCTAGCATATCGTGGCAGACGCTATACCAACTAAGCCACGGAACGAACCAGCCGATCTCACGAATTTTTCTATGTGCTTAGCGCCATCTATCATCATAAGGCACATTTTTTTTTGTCGTTATAACAATAGCTAAAACTAAATTTTATGAAGTAATCTAAGTTTACGCACAGGTAAAACAGCTTTTGTTATTTTAGTCCATATTTTCCATGCGGATTAATTTGAAAATTAGTTGTTAACCATATCAACGATATCACAAGAAACTTGAGCTCATTACGACAACTGGAGACACCACGACTCAGAGAGGACCTCGGGTAAGAGTGATAAGGCATTTCCATTCTCACAGAGTACCATCTGCGCTTAGCCCATAAAAATACTTGATGTTACTGAAGTGCGATTTGAACACATCATAACAAATGTATCAGCCTCGCCATGAGGACTAAAGATTCTCGAATCAAAATGGTTGGCTTGAGTCATTGAACAACTAACAAAACCCAACCTATCGATATTCAAAATGATAATATAATACCAATTATTTTTTTTATAATAACAAGTGACGGGACGAGCAAGATCGTGTCCTTATGGACAGACGTTACCATCAGGCGCACATATGCCTTTATTAAAGCTCTGAGCTTTAAATCGCAAAGATCTGAGGGGCACTTCCACTGCGCCCGGCACCCTGAGACATAAGTTGACAAGTCCCAAGTGCCTGTAATTTTACCAGCACTCTTACCCTTTAAAACCGGAACACAGTAATGCTAACATTACTGCTTGGCGGCAGAAATAGGTAAGGCAGTACTTTGGCAGTACTACCCTTTACGAACTCTTTCACAAGATGCTCTACTGCTACTATAAGATTGTGCGATAAGACCTTGCATTTGTTCATCTACTTTACAATTTGTAATCTTTACGGATTCACTCTACTTTTGTAATTGACATTGCTTTCTTCGAATTTGTTTAAGTGTGACATTTTTATAATAGTAACTTTTCTTTAAACGCTTCACTTGAAAAAAATTGCCGTTTTAATTTGCAACAACTAATTAAATTAACACCGACTTATTGGCCGCCCTGATCCGAGGGAGACAAATAGTCTAAAACAAAATTTACGTATCGGAATCAAATTCAATTTCGTCCTTGCGTTATTTTCACGACTTTTTAAGACCCGGTGCCAAAAGAAACAGTGGATATGGCATATTTTTTATTAACTATACTTACTTATTATTTATTATGTATCAAATTAGTAAAAAAAGAAAAATACATATGAAATTTTAGTTTTCTCTATTTTTGTTTATTCTGTATGCCTTATGTGAGAGAAGAAACTTTAAACTCCTGAAACTTAACTTCGTACCAACATCGCCTGACTGCTTTTTTATCCTACGCTCAAAACAGTGATTAAAAAAAAATTACAACAAAATAACTCATCAGAGTATAAACAAATCGCAAGAAGCTTTCACACTTCTTGCCAACATTGCGAAATTTGTTTTCTTACAGGATTTTTCTAATCTTCTTTAACATCGTTTATATTGATTAGCGTTCCTACTGCCTAATTTATATTCAGCACGTGTTTTTTCATCACGTCTCGTGCTTAATATCGCAATTTGTACCGTAGTGGGTGTAGGCCGACAGACCTGAACCTAACACCGTTGCGACTTTCCTCTTGAATACCTTTTTTATTGTTTTTACACCTATTTATTACCAGTAATAAACTGTAACAATTTGTTTCTTGGGAGACTTAAGATCTTTTGTCCCACAACCAGCAACATATTAATCATATTAAATATGGGCGGCGGTAACTATTATTCCTTAGGCGGACCGTTCAATTATTTACCGGTCTGTATATCAACAAGTTATGGATCGAGTACTGCTCTGCGTTTCTCCACGTGATCGAATCAGAAATGAGGAGATCCCTAGAAGAACGAAAGTCACCTATATAGCTTAAAGCAAGTTGACTTCAACTACCATTTGGGTAGGGCACATAGCTTGTGGAACTGACGGCCGTTGGGCAGAAAGGTTCTTGAATAGAGACCACAAACCGGAAGGTGTTCAGTGGAACGGCCCTACTAGAGGACGGATGACCTGGTAAGGGCGGCGGGTAACCGATTGCGCGTCACGTCTGACTGGTTAGACGGGCAATCTTTAGGGGAAGCCTATGTTCAGGGCGTCTTCCGGCAGATATGATGATCATGATGATTGTATACTATGTAAATAAAAACAATAGGTGGTCTTATTGCGCAGAAGTGTTTTTTGCAGGTCCACCACGACGGTCAAATTTTGTATTTATTGCTGTCACTGCCCAATTCATTATTCGCCTAAGTCTACGATGAACTTTTCGAGTCGTAGGCTGATTATAAAAGTTTATTAGGATTATTTTCAGAGTGGTAGAATTAAAAACCATCGGCGCTTCACAGATAAATTAGTTCTAAGGAATGAGAAAGCTGGCATGTTAGTTATGATAGGAATTAGTGAGTCCGATTTCTTTTCTTACATCAATCAAAATCATACTGATAATGAAATCATCATTTGGGTGGCCATAGAGATGCTCTTCCGAGAATCCGGTCGCAGTCTGTCCGATGGCATTGCATTCCTGATTTATTAATTAGATTTTTTTGTACTTATTTCGTCTGTATTATCCATCATCATTTGTGAGATGTCGAATTTTAATTTTTTTCACTAGGGTATAAACATTTGAAGGTTTATTAGTTTCAGAATAATAACTACATGTACAATTTAAATGTTTTTTAGAAATTTTAATTCTAGGTATGAGCAACTACGGTAAAAGCTTTTCATTGGAAGGTAGAAATCCTCTTGGATGCTATAGGTCCTGACCAGATGGTATGCCCGATTTCATTAGGAAGTGTAAATTACTCTCTACAAACACAGAATATGTGTGATGTTAAATACCTTTATGTCTCACGTACACTACATACACGCACAGTCTGCATCTGACTTATGGTAAAAGTACTTGAAGTTGTTATCGTAGCTACAAGTACCTGTACCATAAGTTTACGGAGCCAATAGTCACAAACGACTGCGTAAAATCTTTGATCATCTTGTACGGCAAATTGCAAATATTTTACACGTTTATTAGCTACTATCGCCATTGTGATCTCAAGGTAGTGGTACTGAAATATTAGAAGGAGCGATAATAAATTGATTACAATTGCAAATAAGCATGTTTATGGCCACCGTCCTGAGTGAAAACGTGATCATTTTAAGCACTCTTTAGAACACTTTCATTTAGATGTAATAACAATAACAAAGAAGATGTGTACTGTATTGACATTTTTTACAATTAATTTTTTAATGATATGTGCACAAGAATCGACCGTTGGTGAGAAATCTATTTGTACATGTATATATTTTTTGCTGGTGGTGACAATAAAGACCGAAGATGAGGGCCATGACGTATATTTAACTAATTGTCCTCGTCTATGAAGATCGGTGATAATAAAAAACGGTTATTTTATACATTATGACGTTAGCATAATAAATAATAAGATCATAAAAGTCCTTGTAATTTTGCAACTGAGAACTTTAAATTTACTTAAACCCTTAACTACCCAGCTTACGAGACTGTATTTTAGAAAAGTTAAAGGAAAGATATAAAATTACAACATTAATATTAATTTCGTGTTTCAGTGGATCTATCAGAATTTGAAAACAGCTCGGACGTGCAAAATTTTGAAAACAATACGAAAATACCAGGTAAAGTAAAGGGATACATAGCTTAATGATAGGCGGTTATAAAGGTGTATCTAAGTTAAATTTTATATGTATAAATTATATTGTGACTAAGAAAGGCGGTATCCAAATACAAGTTTTGCAAGTTTGAAGTTTTGTGTGTACCTAATTGTACGACAAATGGCATTGACTTACAATTATATGGACGTTGGGTCCGCGCTAAAAAATGTCCGAACTTATAGGGCGTTAAAATCGTATACGGAGCGTCATTCACGCTTTAGTCTTCGTTTGTTCGACTGACAGCGTAGCAAGCAAAATTATACAGTACTGCGATGACATTACAATTTAAATTCAACGTCTTAGCTTTTTCATATTCCTTTACATGTCACTACGTTTAAATAGGTTGACTTGGGACATTTTTTTCGTGGTTTGTGTATTAGACCCGTCGTCCGTTTATTTGTACATCATGACAAATGGAGATTAGTTTTTTCTAACAAAAAAAATTTCCACCACCCAGTTTTGTTACTATGATTATTTACTTGTTGCAGTGGATTTAAACGAAGACGAAAACAATACGCGACCGGGTATTGTTATGTTTCACTATTAATTTGCCTATTTTTATATTTCATATTGTGATGTGCCAAAGGTAAAACTCGTATAAAAAAAAACAAATTGTTAATTTTGATACAATACTGCGTTAAATTTTCACGATTTTCTCACGTTATTTGGTTTAAAAAAACCATAGCTTCATAAATTGTTAATATATATTTAAATTATATAAATTTAAAAAATATATATTAATATAAATTAAAAAATATTTTATTTTGTTCGACGTTTCCAACGCACGTGTTGCAACGTCCATGGTCTCGAAAGGACTCACAAGGGACTCTTCGAGACCATATACGAATCGAGGTCAATAAAATATATTTATACGCAATTAAGTCTCATTTTTACACTGTTTTTCTAGATGCTGCGGGAGCACGACGTTATGGTTTTCAACAAACTATGACAAGGGCATGTCAAGATTACGCCAAAACCTATATGTGCGTTCGAAAATGCTTAGACTTTAATTTCGACATTGCTCGTTCCGATAGAAACTGTAAATGTACATGCTACAAACATGCAGAAAAAGCGACATTCACTATGCCCCTTGCTGGCTTCACGAATGGCTCTAAATGGAAGTCGGGTCCTCCGACCACGACTATTTTCGTTACGCCCAAGTTTCCTCCTACATTTGATGATTCACCTGAAGAAGAAGAACGTGAAACAGACAATGAAAAAAATACGGAGAAAACAAGTGGTGAAAAAAGTAAAGAACACGGTTTGGACTCAGAAGGTAGCAAAGAATCAGATTCAAATACGACCGAAGTGGATGGTGGTAGTGGCGGTGGTGGCGGTGGTAAGCCGGTTACCGATGAAAATGGTAATGTTGTCACAGGAGAAGATGGACAAATTATTACTGAAAAAGAAGGAGGAGAAACCAAAGCGGAAGGGGAGGACGAAGGTAAACCAACAGCGCAAGAAGAGGAAGGGGGTGAATCTCAGGCATAGTGAAGTTAAACATTTTATAAAATTTATGCATAGGTAGTTAAGTATGAAATTATTCTACCATAAACATTAGATAAAGTTATCTGTTTAATTATTATGGCGAGTTTAAAAATTTAGCTCTTAAACTTTGGAAATGAAATACACATTGATTATTTATCTACGAATAAGGTCGTTAATGAATAAAATTTACCTCAGGATCCATCGATCATGAATTTGGCATAATATTATTTCTCGTAATATGCAATGTTCATCTAAATAAGAACGTTGCCAATTGAATATTTACGAACACTAACTAAAATAATTATCAATATATTTTGCTTAACGGTAGCATTAGGGAAATACCGCACGTTCAAATAAAATATGGATAGACTCCGTGTTCTGTGAGATTTGTGGCGTTCCGACTTTATCGGTATGGATGTATTTATAAAATAACTGCTACATGTTATATCTTTAATAAGTTATGAAACTGACACAAAATATACTTTATTAGCTTCATACGGCAGAAGTGCACTAACATTTTTTAAATTATATGGCAATTTATCTCTGTAAAATATAAATTTGTTCTCTCAATATTTTTTCATAATAGCTTCACCTACTTAGGTGGAAATAAAAAAACTTCACGTCTTTGAATAGTAACTTAAAGAGAGAAGCCGTGTCCAGTATATGATCCCCAGGGGCCGCCTAATGTGGCGCTGTCAATATTCATATTTGGTGAATGACGCGTACCATGATCGATCACACCACTGTATGTACACAGTACGTTATTCTTTCGTGACTATGGTAAAATAAACTGAAAATTAAGCATTTAACTCGATCTGAAAAACATGTATGTATTACGATTACAATATGTTACCATAAGGACTTTGAGGTCTGTACTAATTTCGAGAAAGGAGATATCGTTGATTTGTAGGCAACATATTTGCAAATACTATAAACAGTACCTTTATCAGCGCAAAGATACTGTTATATTTGATTGATTTATTGTTACAGAAAAAAAAACGATATTCGTAGTTGTAGTGCCACTCAGAGCTTTAAAACGCAAAGACCCGCGGATCGCTGCCACCGTGCCTGTCACCCTAAGACAACAAGTCTCATGTGCCTGTAATTTCACCAGTATCCGTACCCTTCAAAATCTGAACGAAGTAATGAGTATATTACCGCGTAGCGGCAGAAATAGGTACTGTGGCAGTACTTCTCTGAACGAACTCTTTCACAAGGAGCTCTACTGCTATTAAAATGAATTATAGGGCTACAATTTTGCCGTTTTTTTTTATTTTACGGTAATCACATGATTTTTTTTACTCACCATTACCAGTTTTGTAAACATCACCGAATACTACCACATGGTAGTTTCATTTTTAACGCTAGTATGCAAGCTAACAAAACTTTAAGATCTATAGTCCCCAGGGGCAGCTCGAGTGACGGCTATGACGTATCACTAACATTTTTTTACCAATAGACTGGGAACATATATTCGCTTTTATGTTAATGCAAATAATATCAATCGCCCTATATTTGTGAATAACATATAGTTTGGTATCCTAACATTGATAACAGTTTTCTCGTAAATTGTGCAAGGTACAGCAATGTGTATACAAATTTTGATTTGAATTTAAGTATTTGGCGAAGCATTTGTTCTAAAATCATGTCATTTGCGAAAATAAAGAGGTTTGCGTAATTGTTTATCATTAGATACGACGTTCAACTATAGTAGTGATTTAAAATTTCACAATTTCGCGCCACGTCATGTCACACTATAAGTGCCACCGTATGGATATCGAATTGTTCGACGTTATCACGATAAAATACTGAGGATCTAAAAGTAGTTCGAAGAAACAAGTCTATAGTGAGATTTAAGGACTCAATTTGCCGATGGTTGAAATATCTTACATCTGACTGTCGCCTTTCATAGTTCGGCTTGTTTGTCAAAAAGGGTGGACGCCATAAATCTCGAAATGACCCTTCTTTATGGCACACACTGAGAAATACTCGATAGTGGACCAGCTGGGGATGGGCGCAATAAAATTTAGATAGACATTAAATATTTGTTTTTCATTTTAATTTGTTTAAATGCGATTGCATTACTGCTCTTAGATATACAAACCTTGGTATACATTTGGAATGTAAATTTTTTCCTCATTATTTGATATAAGTAATTAAAAGTAAAGAAATTGTCTTAATTAATTCAGATAGGTATTATGTTTTGGTGATATATACCTACAAATACACGATTGTACAGGAATCGAAAAATAAACGTGTCCTGGGTGCTTTATGATGTTTTTCATTGAATCATTGGGGCATGTGTACTTTTATCAATCCTTGTATTGATAAAAAATTGCGTTTAAATTGGTAACATTCAAACTTGTGGTTAGGTCTTGCCACTTTATCGTCGATGTGTAAGTATATACGTATATAATATACTATCTAGGTATCTATAGATTACTATGTTTTTGTTTGTGATAGAGTCTGCTTGTATACGTTCATTGTACAAATAGTTATCCGTTTCGTTCACTTCTTATAAATGATAGACTCCGTAATAAAACACCACCAGGCTTACTTTTATCTGTCTGCACACAATCAAGAACCAAACAAACCGCGAGAGGAAGACGCTCTATAAATCCTCCAAATAAAAATTGCAACAAGTTTCTTCATAATAGCGACCGAGGCATCATCAAAAGTTGTTTCTCGCACCCCCGCGCCCATTCGTGTAGAGATTACCAATAAATCCAATACGGGATAATTGGCCGGCTTAATTCTGTTCTATCTTTCTACTTAGTTCAGTAGTCAGAATGTGCCAGCTCGGGTCCCTTGGGAGCGTCCAGTCGGGAGTATAAACATCAGAACTTGACGAACAAAAATCGCACTTTCAAGCTTCATACAGAACAGGTTTTCGATCGGCAAAAACTTACAAAGCGCAATCGACGTCAAATGAAGAAAGCAGCGCAGTTAATGAGCTATAATTTTAGTTTTCTGCAGTAGCTATAACTGAGTTACCGTTTTGATATTTGTGAATGAATCAGTTTGTGACACTTGACAGACATAGGTGTTGCTTTTCCCCATCGGATAATGGAGAGCTTTATGGACTCAAGGGGTGGCAGCGATTTGATATTCGCATCAGTCGTCGACCCTCGGGACTTCAATGACATGATTCAATAGCAAGCGAAACTCTGATACGATCCAGATTTTTGATTTCTGAAACAAGGGAATGCAACCCTGGACTTATAATTTTATAAATTTTTATTATCTATGTGCGCTATACACGGTTTATATATATTGAATATTCAATACACTTTCATGCAAAAAGCTCCCCGACGATAAGATAAAATTAAAACGTCAGGCAAAGCGGAAAAATCCCGTTCCGAAAAATTAGGCAGCGAAATTCCAACAAATAATTAATCAGGAATAATCATACAAAACGATGCGAACGGGATGCCAGGCCATTATTACCATTCATTTCAAATCAACCGAGTGGAGGTACGGGAGGGGAGAGAGGAGATCCCTCGATCTGAATAAGCATACATTTTCCAATCAGGGCACGTATCATTTAATTCGCTATTAAATTTGACTTCTTCCTCTCCAATTATTATCATGTCGAATTTGAGCTCTTCAATTTAGAAATGGAGGTGTATTTTGAATGTTGTTTATTTTTTTCACTTTCGCTTTGTCGGTATCTTAAAATTTTGAGCATAGTGCATTTTATCAACCCAATTAGTTCAACAATCAATTGCGTTGATCTTGCCAGTCACTCAATATTGCAAGTTTAGTTTATTCACTGTTTGCTTTTATGAAACGATGTGTTTGTATATGATGAACTTGTGAATTATTTCTAATTTATTTCTAAGGGAATTTGGATTATTAGTACTATCGCATCCTCAGTAACCGTTAACACACACACACACACACACACACACACACACACACACACACACAAACAAACACACACACACACACACACACACACACAAACACACAAATAGTGAGTTTAAAATTTTAAATTATTATAAATTGTCGTTTGAAATTTTTCGAAGTAACTATATAGAGTATATATTTTATAGTTACATTAATAATTTCCATGAAAATAGAGTTTTGGTATCGGTTTTATAACACACGTGACTGTTTTTATACAAGTACCTAATATTGCGGTTACTTTTGGTTTTAGTGTCGAATACAGTTTTTACTGCTTACTTCCACAATGTTTCGTTAAATTTAAGCGGTATGTATAAATGGAATGAGGAAAAGAAATGTGAAAGGTTCCACAGTAAGCCGTTGAATACTTTTAATAAACGCCGTCATAACATTCGTGCTTAAGACCTTTTAGGGTAATTACACGCTTTATGAGAGCAGCGTGGGGTGAATTAGAGAATTAAAATTTTATGAAAGAAGTCTTGGTGTTTCCTTGAAAATTTACGATTCAACGCCGCTTTTCGAATGCTAAATGAAAATTGTGAAGATATTCAACGAGAATTTTGCATGAAGGCGGGAACTAGCACTGATGTTTTACACTATTTTGGTACATTGTATTTTACCGAAAAAGCCGTGGTAGCCTAACCTACCGTCTCTCAAGTAGAGATTTGCGCGAAATTTAATTCGAATTTTTTTATATTTATTCTAATTTTTCGGTGAAGAAAAACATCGTGCTAAAATCTGTACGTTGAAGGTTCACAACCCTTGGAAAACGAGTGAAGTGGACTGAACTCTCGTCTGAGAGGAGACTCGTGCCCAGGACTGGGACGTATAAATATTTTGATGGTGATGATGTGTGTTACCGATTACCGTAAGCGCGTTTAGCTTAGTTAAAACTATTCAAATCTAGAAAACTTGGACCAACTTCGGATGTAGCTTGTGCACTAATTCCGATTTCAATCCGAGAAAATACGAATACCGATTGTAACATCTACAGACAAAATTATTCTTGTGACTTTAGGATCGTCATTTCTTGGAGTCTAAATTGATACGAATCGGCTGTAGTGCACAAATGTTCTAAAATTTACTTGAAATGTATGTATTTTACAAAATTAAATTACGTTTGTGACGATTATAATAAACTTTTTATCCAGGGACATGGTGACTCGTACTGTGCATAACAATGCTGTCAAAACCCGATTTGACATCTGACTCGTTGTCACCCGACCTCCCCTACTTATTAAATTAATAACTTAGCTGTCATTATCCGACTAATTGAAGGGGGGCCTTCTTTAC